GTGATTAGTTTATTTGCGACGGGCATAGTAAGTGCCTACTAGTTTATCTTGCCTATCTTTACCTTAAGTGCATACTTTTCACTTTAAATTACAAATATGTCATGGAGACGAATAGTGAAATTTTTATGCAATGCTCATATACATTAATTGAACCCTTTAGCATTAGGATTTACCTCTAAATATTAAAATTAGGAATGGCCGAACGTGATAATGATAACTTCGACGCTGGACAGGATGACGTCCAACCTCCATTACCTCCTAGGCAAAATCGAGTCCATCAGGGAGCCCCACTTCAATTTCTTCGAGCACCTCCCTTACTAAGAATGGACAATGAGTTAGAGTTATATATACGGCGCTTCCAAAGTTATGTCGAAAGTATTGGAGCAAGAGAGCATGAAATACCTCATATCTTAATCAACTGCCTATCTGATGAGTGCCTCCTGGGTGTAGAACGACACATAACGTTTGATGAGTTACTTATTGTACTGAGAAGAGAACTAGGAACTGGGGGTGGAAACAGAGAGGAGTCCAAATTCTTATTAAGAAAGACCTTAAGACAAAGACATGAGGGTGTACGTGCATTTTACATTAAACTTTATAATATTGCCAAGAAAGCCTATCCCGGACCAGATCTTCAACTAGTTAGAGATAACGCACTCCGCGACGCTTTTATCAACAATATCACGGATTCCGCAATTAGTGCTAGACTCAGGGAAACCCCTGACTTACCCAATGAGCAGTTATTAGAGCGAGCAGAACTTTTGATTAACTGTAAGAACGCATCTCAACCTAGAAACAGCCAGCTGTGGAGACAGCGATCACACCGGAAACGACCAACAAGTTAAATACTATCATTGATTTATTAATTGCCCAAGTTTTGCCACGAGACCTCCAGCCTGTAAACCCACAAGTCTATACTCCTGTTAATAATGATGGCCAAAATGCTCCGTACAATTACCAAGGAGCACGTGTAAGCAGTGGATTACCAAACACAGGATACCATGGACAACAGTCCAACAACTTTGACAACATGGCTTTCAGCGGCCGAGATGACCACTACAATGACCATGAGGTACACGTCAACGAAGACTATAAGTATAGAGAAGTGTATACCTCTACTGAACATCATATTCCGCACTGTTCTCTCTAAACTCAGTACACCAGAATAGGCACTACAATTACAACGACTTTACTTTTAAATATTAACTTATGGTAATTCAAATGTTTGTTTGTACGATTATATCTAATTTTGTTGGTTGTGCGCGAGAAATTCAATAGTTCTTTAAATTAATGATTTTTTACTATAAGAACGGGCATACCTTATTACTAATAGTTCTTTGGAAAATTTTTTTAAAAAAGAAAAAGAAGAAGGTTGTAGATTTATCATTTTCTTTAATTATAGATAGTTTTACTATGACGTGGTCGTCATTAATTTTCGATCGGGGAGATGTTAGGTATAGTGAATTGAAGGTGAACAGGTTTGCAAATATCTCACGGCCTGTATTAGTATCTTATAAAATATTTGTACTGAGAGACGGGTAGTCGGTCGATTAATTTAAAGTCTTTATCAATTTAGAAAATATTTGGAGTCTGCGTAACAAGCTGAAAGTTGTAAGGTTTGTATGATTGAAATGTCTCACGGCGTGAAGCTGTAGTTAGTATTTTAAGCCTTTGTAAATTAGTAGTTGTTTGGAATTGTGACGTTCCCGGTGGGAAAAGCAGTGGCTTGAAGATTGTTAAAGTTTCAAATTTATTAGAACTTATAGTTAAAAGAATACTTACAATTATTTTAACGGCATTGATTTTTGATTATTGTGTTGACGAACTAGCCGAGGTGTTACAAGAGTGCCATGAGAATCAACTCCCCCTTCAACTCCCCAAAGACCTGTCAACCAGCACTATACAAAAAGGGAAGCTCGCCTGCTGCTCGCTGCCTTTCGCCTTCTGCATTCACCTGTCTCCTATCATGGCCCGGGGTCTTGTTCTGCTGTGTCCGTTCTCTCTCCACATGTTACTCATTTCTATCATAGATTCCTCGCACTACTAGTACTACCTGTTCCCGATAGATCCTTCCAGAATTAGGCTATGGAGTTCCTTTCCTGAGGCAATATGATGGTGATACCCACCCTACTTGCTCTGCCTGTCCTCACCTAAGCTCCACCAGTCGTATTGCTTCATTGATTCCCCCCTCCTTCCTCGAGAACCGTTCGTCACTATGTTAGATCCTCGAGATGACCATGCAAGATGGTTCAGTTCTAGTTGACATTCCACTATATGAAAAGACCAGATCGCCACTTTATATTCTTATTCCTTGAGAGAGAGAGAGAGAACCGGAACAGCGACCTCGTGAATCATCCTATTTAATCGCTTCACCCTCGCCACATTCGCTACTACTTCAATTATTGGGGTAAATGGACATTAAGACTAAGTTATGAGATATGAGAGTTAAATTAATATTGTAGTCCTATTTAACCCAATTATTTTACAACCCTTCATTAACTTGTTTTAATTGGTTATCTTCCAGATATAAATTCACATAAAATTCTGAAGTCCATAATTACAATAGAAATTACTGTCCTAAAATGTATCTGTACAAAGAGAGTTTGGGTTTGACCTGTGCCCTGAGTGAGTCTCAAACCGGGAGGTATTCCATAATATCGGAACCTGAATTTCCATACTCTAGTTAAAAGGAGCCAATTATACGTAGTTAAATTAATACCACCACAATTTAATGAAATATAATAAATAAATAATCTCTAGAAGTCATGGAAAATTGGAGCATTAAATAGGCCGTTAAGTAAGTTGTCGTGCTGAAACCCGAGTACGCCTCTTAACACCCTCTCGCTTGCAGTAGCGTGCGACCGCCGGCCGGAAATGACTTGTGGAACAAGCGCGCCCGCAGCGGCGCGAAAGCACCTGGTTAGCTAGATGAACGCGATGTGCCTTGCATTGTAGGATGAAATCCTACTAGCTGACGCCACTCGCAGCTGTGATGTTCGCTGTACGTCAGCGATCGAAATTTATACGCGTATCACCCGTTAAGATGTGCCACCCGACGCGCCACGCAATTTTTCTCGTTGCTCGTCGCACGTCGACGAACAACGAAGCTCGTTGCGACGCGCAATGAGCTGCCAGGCTAGGACTTCGTCCTGGTCCAACAAATTTTGGCGAGCGCGAGCGATTTTCTCCAAAAATTTAATGAGGGCGCCTTGTCATACGTTGTATGACCCGCCGCGCACGAAGTGCGCGGCTCCCCCTGTATCGTCAGAACGATAAAGGGGGTCATAGTCAATTTGCAAACAATAACAAACCAGAGGGAGAAAAAAATTCTCCCTCCATAATAAAGCGGCGCGCCGTCCGTATTTGTATTGAGTATCTGTGTGTTGCGTATACGAAATATTTGCGGAGGGTTGCTAAGCGTTTTTAATATTAAATTATTTGGAGACATATCGATGTACAATATATTTTAAAATGCTTGCAGAGTATATTACGTAATGAACGTCAGATTGCTATATAAAGTTAACAGTTGATTCGTCTGCACTGTGTGTGTGGTTTGATGCCCGTCTGCCTTGTCATTGCTTGTTGTTTGCGTCGTGATTCGTGACCCTCATCATCATTTCATTTAATTTTAATAAATTCTGCAACTTCGGCCCTTCTTCAATCTGGCATTCTCATCCTCGTTTTGGCTTAAACTGTCAAATATAAGTCACATTATAATAGCGTTTAACACACGATTACTTTGTAAATCCCTGCGTGGCGTTTCTTTTCTTTGCCACAAAGACATCATTATTTATTTATTATAGAGTGTCGGTCAAAACTGTTAACGTGACTATTGTATTAATATTAATGACTTAGTCGGTTCTTGAGATTTTGCCTTCTTCATATTTGAAACAACTACCGTCCACGGTACGAAGGATAATTGTTATTTTAATTTCTACTAATTTTTAACTTTTTTCTTGTTCTCAGCTCGTTGGGACAGAATTGTAATGAACAAAATAATTATGATTTTCTTTGATATGTTTCATTTCTTGTTATTGTTTCTCATTCTAATTTGGTAGACGGCCCTAACGTTAATTAGTATACAATAAGTTTATTTTTCTTTTTTAATTAGTTGTCATCCGGCCACACAATTATAAGCTACTTATATTAGTAATATAGTATTACAGCACCATTCATCAATCAGTATATCAAAATATGTCATTTCAATTTTGCATGGCTGAAATGTCACGTTTGATTTATATATTATTCCCGTCTGAGTCAGCTCAATCAATGTTCAAAAACTATGCACACGGTTCCAACATGTAAGAATCCCAGGCCCGGCTATGCCAAGTTAAAATCTATATTAAATCACGGCACTTAATAGTATTAAGCCACAATAATCCAGATGGAACTTAAAGTTACATTTAAGCCCCACTCTCATCCAGCTCCCACTCTGGTAATTAATGTTTTGGCAACCCCGCACGGTATAACGCTATGATATTACATATTGCACCAGTCCAGCGGAGTGCCATGAAGCTTCTTAAATCATCCCCAGTGCAAGCCCCAATTACCAGCAGTATTAGGGAAGCCGACTCGAGCCCGATACTAATTTATCCTAACCAATCAGATACGTTAACAGCCCTCTTAGAAATTTTGATTAAAAAGATTTTATAAAGAAATTTCCTGGACAACAGGGCGAGCCCCTGTTGCCATTTCCGAGCACAAATCCTCTAAAAGATTTCAACACAATTATAAGGCTTCGGAAGTCTGGGATCAATGGATTCCTGAGCTTATATATACTAATCAATTGAATTTTCAAATTGAAAAAACCAGTATCTCTATTAGATGTCTTGCAGTCAAAAATAATGCTGGATTGTTGTTCGACCTTATATTTTTCTGCTGAAGCTCCATGACGGTCGACACGTATAATACCTCTCTTGGAACCTATTTGTACATGTTCAAAGCATGAAACCCGAAGGTGAGTTGTAGACTTATTCTAGTATTCTCGTAATATCTCACTGCTTCCCTAATTACCCCCAACTTGAGCTGAGTGCTTGTGAACCACATCAAAACCCTGATTTATCATACACGACGATTATTCGCACAAGTTGTCTTTCCCTCAAACAGCAAACTGTGCAGTAAATCGTGGTGTTACTGTACATGGTTTGCCTGGTGAATACCATGATTACAATAATAAGTTATGATAAAAATTCTTGTAACCCTTAACACATTACGCCCACTTTGCAGTTGACGAACAGAGAAAAAAAATCATATCTTGGGATATGCCGATATTGATCGATACATCTGTTGATCTTTGAATAAGAGGTGAGAATTAATTTTAAATATATCGAATTTGTACTTACTTTGTTACTTTGTTAGGCTTCATAGAATCCTCTATCGGGCCATCGAAAAAGTCGACCTCCCGGACAGTATAGAAACTGTTTTATCACCACTCCAATCCAGCAAGTATCCTGGAGCTGGAGGCTCGTCCGGAAATGATTTGACAAAGTTGGGAAAGTTCGTTAAAGTTGCTTTGAATTCCATAGGATCCTCGATGGTGTGCATATGTGTTGGGATTACATTCCATAATCGAGGTCCAGTGACTGCAAAGTTGTCATGTAGTGCTTGATTAAGTTGACTGCTGGACTTAGCTATACTGGGCACAACTGCTTTTTGACCATGTCTGAGAGTGACCGAGAACTGGATACCAATATCATTAAGGCACTTGCAATGCAGAACTTTCCACATGTTGATGATTAAATACCGTTCTCCTCTTCTTTGCAATGACATCAGAATATCTAGGGCCTTTAATCTCTGCCAGTAGTTGAGGTGCTGGGTGCCATATGAATCCCTTCTAGCTGTTGGATTTCCTTGTTCTTAGAGCAATTCTACAGAGGACAGCAATACTCTAAATGACTTCTAACGAGAGACTTGTATAAAGTCATCATGGTGGCTTTCTCTCTCGTTTTGAACGCACTTAGCACCCAAGAAGCAACATTTCCTGCACGTTCAGCTATCCTGTTGACGTGTGGGGTCCAGGATTGAAAAGTGGAGTGGTCCGTGATTTCCTCGGATGAGGACATCTGTGACGCAACCAAGTCCTCCTTGGGTTGCTGAGATTCGGGATCTGATTCGTTCACAGTACTATCATGCCGGCCCTTCGATTTCCGTGGTTTTATAGGATTACTTGATTCCTTGCATGGTTTACACAACCAAACATAACTAGAAAGAACAGTAGCACTAGTCAAAACATCGTGGAAACTCGTAACAGCAGAACAGTTGTGTGACCCCGAAAACACATATGACAGTGAAAACAGGTTTCTGATCGGCTTCAAACTCAACAATGTACGTTTCGTTACATTCCAAGCATTCTGATGGCAGTAACGCACGGGGCTCAAATTAAATTCTGTTGATAAGACTGTCCTTTGTATACAGTTTGTTCCCGTCTGAGTCAGCTCAATCAATGTTTAAAAACTATGCACACGGTTCCAACATGTAAGTATCCCAGGCCCGGCTATGCCAAGTTAAAATCTATATTAAATCACGGCACTTAATAGTATTAAGCCACAATAATCCAGATGGAACCTAAAGTTACATTTAAGCCCCACTCTCATCCAGCTCCCACTCTGGTAATTAATGTTTTGGCAACCCCGCACGGTACGCTATGATATTACATATTGCACCAGTCCAGCGGAGTGCCATGAAGCTTCTTAAATCATCCCCAGTGCAAGCCCCAATTACCAGCAGTATTAGGGAAGCCGACTCGAGCCCGATACTAATTTATCCTAACCAATCAGATACGCTAACAGCCCTCTTAGAAATTTTGATTAAAAAGATTTTATAAAGAAATTTCCTGGACAACAGGGCGAGCCCCTGTTGCCATTTCCGAGCACAAATCCACTAAAAGATTTCAACACAATTATAAGGCTTCGGAAGTCTGGGATCAATGGATTCCTGAGCTCCACGGGATAAGAGATTTTTGATTCGGTAGCCCCCCGGACAATTTTAGTTTGGAGGAGATTATTCACCTCACCATGGCCGTAGAACGGCTGTCATGTAGGACTATTGAGCGGTGGACTGTTGAGCGGTGGACTGTAGGCCGGTGAAGGTCGGAAGTAGGACTGTAGAGCGGCCCTCCCTTATAGATCCCATAACATGAGGACTCTAGAGCGGTACCCTCCTATAACATGAGGACTCTATTATAGCGGTTGACAATATGAAGATTGAACACTCAACGAAGCTAAGTTATACATTGTAACTCGTGATTGATTATGGTCATGACATTCTAGGATGATAACTTTATTAAAAAGTCATGGAGTTAATGAACATTTTCATTTACTTATTATAAATATTTCATTACTAATATTTATAATAATTATAGTGCAACTTAATTTAAGATTATTGTAACGCTTCCTCGTTACAGTTTTGGTAACTCAGCCAATCCCTAGCTGGAACCTTTTAACCGTCTTGGTGCTGATTCATCATGATCCAATCCTGACCTCTCCCTTCTCATCGACTCAACTTCACATCAGGTTATGTACCTTACAAGACATTTTTGTGGCGGACCAATTTGCGACGACCGAAATTTTGGCGGTCCGAAAATATGGCGAAATTGAACAAAAACCGTCACATTTCGGACGTCACAGAAAATAAGGGTATTTTTCATCATTTTGTTTCCTGACACAAAGGAAATTCAAAATTTTCTAAAAATCGGTAAAATCATGTTGAAACAAAATGAAACTTATAAATCGATTTCTTCATCTTCCTCTAAGGGGTCCGGCTCGACTCTTTCAGTTTCACTTATTGAGTTTGGTATTAAATTGTTTATCTTGACTTAGTCTCTTATAAGACGTTTATGTTAGCACATAAATGTAATTTATTGTAAATTTAAAACGTATTACTTGACATTAAATTCATCATGGAATTTTGTGTTTATTTGTCCCACCATCATATCACTAACTTTTCAAAAACAAAATGAATCGATTAAGCCACAATTATTGGAATAAGCTAAAAATAATGCGACGGATTCTATTACGACGACCGAAATTTTGGCGGTCCGAAAATATGGCGAAATTTCGGGAAAACCGTCGCATTTCGTACGTTATGAAAACGTCTTGTAAGGTACCCTTTCTTTATTTTATAATCAACTTCTAATTAGCTCTTAGATAATGCTTTTAAGCAAACTAGATATCCCAATCAATGTGAATGACCATCATAGTATTTCTCTAACCGATAGCCCAAGGCATAAAAGGCGGCCCTCACACAACATATCAAGATTAAAAGCAGATATTGACTTGACATTTGCTAAACTCTTTGCAGAGTGGTCAAAAACTGAAATGACACGTTTCACAATTTCGTTACTTCCTGTACGGAGAAGCAGGTTCCCAATAGCCAGTTCATTAGAGTTATCGCCTGACATTGTACACTTCTTGTACAGTTACACACGTTGTACACAAGGTTAGCACAGAGTAATACCGTTTTATCAATAGAGATAAGAGAGCTGCGGAATGTACAACCAAAGCAATTAGCAATAAGGAAATAAAATTGTAGGGTTTAATTTTATTATGAGGTCCTATTATACATCATATAACGGGTTCGAAATGATACCACCATACCCACATAGGTCCAAATATCAGAACAAGTCAGTTTACACGGCCACAAAGACTTTCCAATAAGACAGTACCAGTCCTGCTTGAGTTTATCAGCTTTATATCAGATTTGTCATAGTTTGTTGGTCAGCTGCTGTCAGAATCAAGTTCACGATCAAGTTCACGATCTGTGATCCGATCCAATACTGTGGAAACTACCATATGCTTCGGAGTTCTTGACGGAGTTCCGCCATTTCTTCCGGCAAATGATGAAGTCGATTTGAGATTTACTTTGACTCATATCTGAGAGATATGTCCAGAGTTTACCTCTTCGCTTCTGAAATCTGGTGTTTGTGATTTCTAGCTGTCGCTCCAACAGCATATCCTCTAGCAGTCTACCATTTCGGTTTGCTGGACCCTTGTGGAAGGATGTCCAGTTTCCTGATGATGAGACATGCGCATTGAGGTCTCCTACAACGAATAGTAAGTTGTGGGCTGGTATCTGGTCGATGGCACCACCAAGGCTGTCGTAGTAGTTTTCTGCTTCGTCGACAGTCGCCCCCTCTGTCGGGCTATAAGTCACAATAACAGTTGTGACCGGGTTCCCTGCAAAGTTGGCTACCATCGTCCTTCTGTCATGTGAGTATAATCAATGAGTTGAATACTGTCTTTTTGTCCAAGGCAATACCAACCCCACCAGCAGCCGCCCCATTGCTGGTTCTCCATGCCGAAGTTGTTATGAGGTGAGAGCTGCCCAGATCTTGATACTCGATTTCAGTGCTATGTACTACCCGATGCTCCTGAATGCCCAAAATATGTACGCCACTATCCCTCATGCATACACCCAGCTCATCCCTCTTGTATTGTTCTCTTATTGTTCGTACATTAAGAGTTCCTACAAGAATTTCCTTCTGGCCACGTAGTAGTAGGGTACCAGCCTTTGAAAGAGTTGGAGCAGGAGATTTGGGTGTGACCCGCCGGTCGAGAGATTAAGGTGTGTGCCCGAGATAAATACCCCACACACCATGTGTTGAGTCTACGGCGGCGCCCGCCGCCCGGCCAATAGGCAGGTCACAAATTGTTTTGCCAGACTTGTATAACCGCATCATAGTACTCAAGCGAACAACCATCCCCCTGTTCGCTAGGGCCGTTACTGCAGAAAGCCTCACGTCTAAAACAATTGATCATTTGTCGCTCCTGATCCTAGAGCATCCTTGTCTCGTTACTTGTCACATGCACCTTTTTTAAAGAGGAACTGTATGGTGATATACAGTAAGAAAATCTGTAGTAGATTTTCAAAGGCGACTGATAATATTGCGGACGCCACACCAGCACTATGACAACCATACCATAATCCAACATTCCCATACTTGTCCGAGCAGTTTATCAGAGAAACAGGTAACATTGCACAGTTATAGTGTGTGTCACTGATAAAATCAGTAATATTTACGGCAGATGCCAGATCCTGTAATAAAACGGAATCATAGCATTTGTTTTGATAGATTACATCGGCTACACTGAAATTTGCTTCGCACACACCATGACACACATTTGTACATTCCATTGATTGATAGATACTCGCTTAACTCGCACGTGTGCGCGGCTCTGAACACGTCACAATTATTTGGCAAATATCATATTAGAGACACACCGAATTATAGACCAAAATGTGGCAAAGTTTCATATATAAATCACACTTCCTTCAGCATTTGGTATAAAATTTGAGTGCGCATTTTAGGAATTTCGAGATTTTTCTCAGTGTATAATACGTTGCGTGAATTGTCGAGTTGTACTGATACAGACAGATCCGTCTTAAAAATTCGATCTGCCGACACACAAAGCTTACAAAAGATTTTTGACGTGTTTGAGTTCCATCAGGTGCCCTTTATGGCTGACCAACTTTTCCAAACTTTTCCACTTGTCTCTAGGCCACTTTTTGCCACTTTACCACTTTTCTTGCTTGTCGAATATCTTTAGTTGTGAACATGTTAAAAGGTTGCAGATTAATCGAGAGTGTTCATATTATCAGGAAGACAATTTTACGTCTGATAATCAGTTAATTGGATAATTATCAATTAGCTAATTAGCAAAAAATCTAAAAACTTTTTGACTCAAAATGAGTGGAATAGCTTAAAACACGGAGAAAAGTAGTTTTTAGTAATCAATTACTAAGTCAAAAGGGCTGAAACTGAAAAATGTTAACCACAGGATATTACTATTAGAGTTTCATAATTAATTACAGTACATCCTTATCGATTCTCACAGAAACTGCACCAAAGGCACATTTAAGATCGAACCGATAGCCTGCTGTGCTATTAATGCTTTAATGCTTTTCATACAAGGTTACAACAAAGTCTTCATGTTATGTATCCTCAATAAATGTAATAGTAGTGTTGTAATTATCATTTTATTGATTTCAATGATGAATCAGTGGAGTTAAGATAATCGCATAATATGTATTTTTAAAAACCTCTCTGTACCGTCAATTGTGTTAATCTGAACCGGCTTACCTGGATTACCATCTACATCTTCTTTTTCCTCAACAATGAACAATCAGACCGAGTTGTGCAAGAAATGTGATTTATCATAGCTCATAATAATTACATCACCCATGCGATATGAGTCATATCGCATTTGGTGGGTGATGTAAATAATATCGAGCTGTTTTCGATCACACTATCACAATAAGACACAATAGCATGCAAGTCATCCCACATAGTCATATCTGGGATATCATTACAGCCATTAAAATCCCAAACAATGTTTTTTACGCTAAATATATAACTACATAATAAAGAATGGCTATGCTATAATATACACCAGATACACAACATTTTACTAGCTCTAATATTGTTCAGATACACCAGACTTTATTAGTATTTATATTGTTACGATACTTACTTACTTACTTACTTACTTGATAAGGTCTCCTCAATCATTCGAGTGGCCTGCACCAAGGAATTGCCGCTTATGTCGTATCATCTCTCTCCAGTGCTTGCGATTTCCTGCCAACTCTCGGACCTTATCAAATACAATGTCTGAATCTCTTGTAAAGGTTCGCCAATTCTTTCTTGGCCGCCCACGTGATCTTCGGCCGTGAGCAGGTGTCCAGTCAAGTAGATACTTTGATAGCCTGTGTCCCGGCATTCTAGAAACATGTCCAAACCAGCAAAGACGGTTGGCACTGATGTAGGTTATAACCGGGTTTATTCTTGCCCGCTACAACACTTGAACATTGCTCGTCTGGTGGAACCACTTAATTCGAAGGATTCTCCTCAAACAGTTTTGATGGAAAACTTTGAAGCGATGTAGTTGCTTTGAAGTAGTGTTCCAGACTTCGATCCATAAAGTAATATTGTTAGAACCGCTGCAACATATATCCGTATTTTGGTGTTATTTTGGATATTGCGATTCTTCCAAATATTACCGAGCTCATTGAATGCTCCTGAGGCTTTCTGGATCCGTGCAGACAAGTCCCGGTCAATAGTCCCATCACTTGATATAATCGACCAAGGTAAGTGAAGTTGCTTACTTGCTGGATAGCCGTGTCTCCTACTGTAATGTCCACCGTTGATGCTTCAATATACGGCCTCTGTGATGTATTCTTTCCGATGGCCATAACCTCTGTTTTCTTCGCATTGATTCTGAGGCCAGCCTGAGCCGCATACTTGCATAAAAGATCAGTCGTCTCCTGGAGACCGTCCTTGTTGTTGTCCATGATAGCCAAATCATCTGCATAGTCAGTATCCAAGACGACTGTATCCTGATCAAAGCTGGTGGTAGCTCTCTGCAGTACTGCCCCGTGTGACAACACTTTGTTATCCTCAGCCCGCTGCGCAGGCAGGTTGATGCAAACATTAAAGATAGGCGGACCCTGAATATCCCCCTGCCCAGAGCCAGATGTAACGTCAAACCAATCTGAGAGCTCACCGTTATGTCTGACAGCGCTGACGGTGCCGCAAAAGAATGCTTGCATTATGCGAATGTATTTACAAGGCAAGCCATAATGACTGAAAGCTTTCCAGATAAACTCCCGATTAAGTGAATCGAATGCAGCTTTAAAGTCAACAAAATTTATGTACAGGGAGAGGTTAAACTCAATGCTGTTGTGAATAATAGTACGGAGTGAATAAATCTGATCAATGCAAGACCTGTTTTTCCTGAACCCGCACTGATTCTCTCGGAGCAGTTCTTCAAGCCCCGCATTCATCCGTCGCAACACTATTATCTGATAGAGTTTTGATGCCGTGGAGCGTAGGGTTATGCCCCTGTAGTTCGAGCAGAATGATGTATCACCCTTTTTCGGGACAATAACAATGATACCCTTAACCCAATCCTCTGGCACATTCTCCGTCTCCCAAACACGTGCAAACAGTTTCTCAAGCCTGTCTAAAAGACCAGGAGCCCCATACTTCAGCTGTTCGTTGGAAATTTCATCAATTCCAGGGCTCTTGTGATTCTTCAGACTCTTTAAAGCCCTAGAGATCTCTGTTCTGCTAGGGGGTAAATCACTATCACTCAGATACGGAAAACATGGTGCGACCTCTAGACTGTCTAGGTCTGAAAGGTCCACGTCTCCTATCTGCGGCTTTAGTAGTTCAGCAAAGTGCTCACCCCATCGTTTTCGTTGAGCAGCTGGGTCAGAAATCAACTTCTCGGTTTTATCTCTGACAGCAGTTGACTTCCGACTCTTCTTGCCTGACAAGGACTTGATCATCTGCCAGACCTCCCTCTGCTGACCGTGTGAAGAAGCTGTTTCCAGATCGGCTGCAACCCGTAAAGCCCAGTTCTCATCATCCTTCTTGCAGCTCTTCTCAACACGCTTATTAGCAAGAGAATACTCAGATCTATTGAATCCATCACTTGGGCATTTCTGCTTTACCTTACTCCGCTCCGAGATAAGATCCTTTGTCTCTTGTGACAAGTGCTGCTTCTTCCTCCGGCGCGGGCGTTGACCAAAAAACCTCCAAAGAAACCTCCCTGATGCCCTCCTTGACCAACTCCCACTCTCCATCCAGACTCTCTTCCACCGGCAGACCACTGAATCGGTTATGCAGTGCGATGCAATACTCCTGCACCTTAGATTGGTCACGCAGATGCTCGATAGCTGGTGCTTTTCTATGTACGATACACCAGACTTTAATAGCTCTAACGTTGTTCACTATTCAGATACACTATTGTTGAGTTACACCAGACGTAGACGTCACTAGTTCTTATATTGTTAAGATACACCATACTTCACTAGTATTTATGTTGTTACGATACACCAGACTTTAGTAGCTCTAACGTTGTTCACTGTTCAGATACACCAGAATAGCTCTAATATTATAGATATACTAGGAATAATACTAATAGAGGGGGCCAAAAGTGCCGTAACGCCGTTACTTACGTGTTCAATATTTTGAGACCTGTAATTTTGCAGATGGCATTATGTAACTATTCATTCGAGAAGTCCGTCGTCAACATTCGAAAATTCGAATATTTCAGAAGATATTAAATCCCAATAATGTTTTATAATGATTTATCTTTCAGAAACTCAGCAACCGCGGCCGGAATTTAAATGCCGAAATCATTTGAAAATTCTCGTCGATATGGTTGGACCATGCGTTTGAAAATCTATAGAGATTGGAGGTCGCTCCGATTTAGTTATTGAAAAGGAAATGTAAAACCAAGGTATGTGATATATGTTGCAAGTGACCCATGCAACAACCATGTGGTCAAGTATTCATTTCTAACCTCCGGTTTGTGCTACCAAGCATTGATTCAGTCGATATTGGTCGCTCTGCATGTCCTTTTAAGTTACTTTTCAAATACATCTTAATGTTGGATTTTTATTAAGCTATAAATATGAAAGAAATCCTTTAAGGTATGCTTAAACAAATCTTTACGTATCATCTAATGTGGCTTAGTATATTTCAGGAGACTGAAGAAATCCAAAGATAGAGCCAATAAAGACAGTCAGAGGACCAATTTTATAAACCTTAACAGAAAAAGGCCGTGCTGGATGAACAGATATTGCTCCGCAGCTCGTTTCCTGGACCTTACTTCATAAAAGTATCCCCATCCGAACCTACAGCAGAACCTCAACCTACAGCAGAACCTCAACTTCCAGCAGAACCCAAACCGTTCTAATTGCCATGTTAGCTGAAGATTGTTCTATTATTAGAAAATAGGCTATAGATGGTAGTTGGGTATATTTTAATTGTTTTGGTAATAATGTGTAAGTAACTGAGCCGCCTACTTTAAAGGGATTAGATTTAAATCTTGAATTGTTTCAGAACCAATTACTTCTGGGCTGCCCTGTAAAAATTAAACGGGCGTATAGGTTGTCTCGGCAAAGCCTCCTTAAATTATTGATACACGATCTTAAGGCGAACCTTTTGTAGTTTTTTGCACATTACCACGGTAAATTCGGTACACATACTCAAGTTCGACACGTACAACTGTAGTTCGACAAACCCTAAGGTTGGACTTTGTCTAACGAAAGTGCTCTACCTGGACTCAAATTCTACAGGAGAACTTCGACTATCAAACTTTAGTTTAAAATCTCTGGTGTCCAACAAGATCCTTTATGAGCTTGAAATCTCTTCGTATGTCTTTTTTTCGCTTGTCTCATGCTACCCAATGATGTTAGAATTGTAGATTTAACGGAGAGATAAACGACTAATATAGGCGTGACAACTCTTACTTCGTTTTAAAGATCTAGATTGTAGAGTATGCTATATAAATATCTACCATATACCACCTTTTTATGTTATCACAAACGTCAAGTAACAGAGTACCCGTCTAGAGATTTGGCTACTGGACCGGAAACAGTATGATATCAGTCTATTTTCCTGTTATCATGCCCTTTAATAGTTTTACCCGATATGGAACCAAATATCAACTTTGAAACTTCTTCAAAAACATAGTTCTTTGAAGCACTAACGTATGTAATATTGTTAGTTTATTATACAGATGAATTTTAGTTCTGTTAAATATTATGTATTATTCTTAGGATACCAATAATACAATTTTGAATTATGTGGTTAGTTTGGAAGCTCCATTCTGTAAATATTGTGACTAAAATTATGGCTTTTACTGATTTAATAATCTTAATACCAAGACTTAAGTATTTATACAGTAAAGCCCAGGGTCCCCATGTAAGCAAGCAAGAATAATTGATTAAGAAAGTGCTGCAAGTCAAAAATTTAAAAAGTCAAAGCCCATAGATAAGCTTTTTGTCAACATAGCGGTCACATCATCAAAAAAGTTAACACACAACATCAGATGGTCTGGAACTTTCTAAATGTGACTTTACAGTGCACGCAGTAACTATTTAACACTGAGATTATCGCTTCGCGCACGCGAGTTCTTCTCGTACAGTTGCACCTGAGATTTTTCGTGCGGCTCTCAAATTACTTGACACCCACATAGTGAAACGACCGTGGGGGTCGCAACGTGATACAAAGGGCGCCGACTTCCACTTTGGCTAGGTTTCTTCTTATAGGGGGTGCACGATAAAAATAAAGTTGCTTGGATTTTAAAAAATTTTGTACCACTGTTTTCTAGAGACTGTGAGAATTTTCACAATACTAAATTTGTTATACCTTTTTGGAAAAAATTGTGTGGCACGTCGGGTGGCACATTTTAACGGGTGATACGCGTATAAATTTCGATCGCTGACGTACAGCGAGCAGCACAGCTGCGAGTGGCGTCAGCTAGTAGGATTTCATCCTACAAGGCACATCGCGTTTACCTAGCTGACCAGGCCATTTCCGCCTCCGGCGGTCGCGCGCTACTGCAAGCTTACCTGAGGACCCCAGGCTTTAATGTTGTTAATAGAGATTAGGCGGAATGACAGGCTGAGCGCGGCCCAGTAACTGCAAGCGAGAGGGCTATAGTTAGACTTAGAGCAACACATCGCGCCACAAGCCAAATATTTATCAACATCTTGACTAGCTACGCGGTCCTTTTCCGCATGCGCTCGCGCTGTGCTCAAAAATTGACGTCGCGTCGTCAATCAATTAACATCAAGATTTTAGTTTTACATTTGACCTTTATGTCAAAAAATCTCTGAATTTTCAATCGGTGGTCGATGTTACCTGAGGACCTCAGGCTTCGTCCTTACTTCGTCACAGGACGATCGGAGCTCGACGAGCGTAGAGAGTGCTGGCGTCGTCCTGTGATGGTCGACGTATTTTTGCTTTCTGGGATCCGGCCGAATGACGCCACATGCAACGTGTAGGGTAAAACTAAAACCGCTTCCCTATATGAGATAATATGACAAAAATTGTTTTGGTCGCGTGACCAGTCAATGACATTGATATTTCGCTGCGGACGGTTTGGTGGAGGGTTAGGGTCAACGTTTATACATTATAGAGTCAAAGTTAGGACTAGAGTTGTACACTATTGACATTGTGAGGGTAATGGTTAAGGTTTATCACTAGCGACCTTTTCATCTGACCACAATATCGCAAAATGCTATTGGCTATGTTGTATGTCACGTGACAAATTTAGCCGAGGGTCGGAAGTCGGAAGTCAGTGGACTCTGTTGGAGTCCGGCTTGGACTCCGAGCGGAGTCCAAGCTCCGCCGGACTCCGCCGGATTCAAGTCTGGCGGAGAGGTCCGGCGGAGTCCGCCAAGCACTCCGCCGGATTCAAGTCTGGCGGAGAGGTCCGGCGGAGTCCGCCAAGCACTCCGCCGGAGTCCGCCTAGTGGCTTAGTCCGCGGCGGACACTCCGCCGAGCCGCCGCGGAGCCGCTCGGAGTCCGCGGCGGACTTTAAAGTCCGCTCGGAGTCCGCTCGGCTCCGCTCGGAGTCCGCCAAAATGTACTCGAGTCCAGTGTAAATACATTTTGGCGGAGCACCGCCGGAGTCCGCTCGGAGTCCGGCGGCTCCGCCGCGGACTCTACTCCGCGACGGATAGTGCCCAATATTGGGGTAGGTTCGCTTATATAAGTGTTTCTTAACAAAACTCTTATCCAAAATACAATTAAAATTAGAGAAAATTTACACATTGACAACATTTAACAAATGTACTAAAGTCCAATTGCAAATGACAAAAGCGTAGTAAGGTAACTGTGTAAGTGTAGGAACTTACAAGGAATTAGAGCCAAGATATTTCAATTATGAAAAGAGTTTCAGAGTATGTAACGCGGTCAGCCATATCTCATATCTGTCGAGTTAATTAGAAAGCATTTACAATTTACAGTTTGGTTATTAAAGTTACGGTAGCAATTAAATAGGCAAGTCTTTGATTGTTCATAATTCCTCAACAATTACAGAAACCGTTTTTAAGTGTCTTTAAGAGTTTTTAACGGTGTATAGAAGCTTTTAAAGGTGTATAAAAGCTTATAAAGGTGTATAAGTTAAGGAAATGACGAAAGTATGACGTTTAATGAGATTACGAGAGAAAGGCTATAAATATCGAGACCGAAGAGGTCCGGCAGGTTTCGTTTACCCAGTTTGGGGGTCAACCGACCCAGACCTTACACACCACGCTTTATGCCTCGCTTCTAATCTCATAGGTTTCCGTACTTAAATGTCTTGTAAGTTATGATGCGACGTACGCCGAGTTATATTCTATGTTAAGGTTTACTCACTAGAATGTGTTTACAAAGTAAGCTTTAAGTAGAATATGTTGAGAAGGATTATCGTATTGAGGTTGAGTTTACACTATTGATATTGTCCAATCATTTCCTAATCGCCCTTAGATCCCTAGTTATTCGTTTGTTTCATTTGTCTCAATCCTAATTCTGATTCAAACCTAAAGTGATTATACAGTCCTTGTAGTTTTGGTTTCGAGCTTAGTAGTAATGGCTTGAAGCCGTAAGCGTATTAGGTTAAGTTAGTAGAGCTAAGCTAACGTTTACAAATTGGTCCCTCAAACCAGATCTTAATTTTGTACTTGATGCTGGAGTCTAGACTTTACAGTTCTACGTCATCTACGAGGTTAAGATTTTTTTCCTACTAATACTAGAAGTATAAACTTTTTGTTTTTATAAGGCACGCTTGTTGCATGTGACGTTGATAACACATTAAAATAAGTACACTGTTGACTCTAATTTGATTTTGAATAACACATAAAGTAGTTGCAAGAAAAATTTCTAATTCTATGATGAAAAGTAATTCTGGTCAAGGTCTTTGTTGTTTCTATCGTAGTTTCTATCGAACAAACTCTACAGTTTGCTTTGTTGGATAATTCGTTTTCGAAAACTTACTAGTTACTGGAGAAAAATCAAGTTAACGAATAAAACGCATTTTTTACGGAATAAAATTTGATTCATAATAGCAAGTCAAAACTCAGTCATAAGGTTAAGTTATGACTGTGAGTGGGAGGACTGTTTGAGTATGAATGTGTCTTTTGTGGACTCGAATACTAATATCGCAGTTTAGTGACCATTGAAGTTGCCTTTTACTACTTCCTCTTATGTTAAATTATTATTTCAGCAATTATTTCTATTTCGGTTGTTTGTACGGGAGTTAAATTTTAAGTGATTTTGTTTTAAATTTTCATGATTCTTGAATCTCGAATTTTACTTACTCTAGATATGTTATTCATTCATGTATAGTCGAGACGATGGTGTTAGTGCCATCTCCGACAACTTTACGTTTAATTCCGTTTAATTCCGTTTAATTCCGTTTAAGGAAATACTTTCAGAATTTTATATATCGTCATACAAATAGGAAGTTCTTAAAATCAAAGTAAGTTGTCTTTAGGAAAATCTTGAGGGCATATGATACGAAAGGGCGTCCACTAGAAAATATCCGATGCAGTATAACAGTTGTCGTAAACGTAAATTTAAGTACGAAAGACGAATATGCAATTTTTTTTGACGCGGAAAATTGTTCGAGAAGCAAGGTGAGTAACGAGTGTCACTGTCAATGCGTGTGAATAAGAATGTGTGATTTTGAAGCAGCATCACTTATACTTTAGAAAAGGTTTCTGCTGTAACGCAAATTGATCAGGATACTAGTTTAAGAGCTACAGTCAGTGTGCAACCCGAATCTTGGTATAAAGTAAGGTTTAATAATGATGGAAGGTCGTAGAGCTGTCTTCGGACAGAGGAGTTAAACCAGGGAGCTCAGGAGCGGTAGACCGTAGAGGGCCAGAGTTTGGCGCTGAAATAAGGATGGTGAAAGAAAAAGGGGTAGGGCAACAACGTTTTGGAGGAGGTAAACAACATAGCTCAATTTGAATTAATTTAATCACAAGATATCGAAATTAAGGCATCGGGTGGAGAGGTAGTAAAGTAGTAATTACTCAAAATTCGAGTACTTAGTGCCCCTGCCTTTAGTAGGTATAAGAGGGGCTGAAAAGCGACCAACAGTAATATATGAGGTTTAAGATAGCCGGGAAGTTGCACTAGCAGGCGTAGGCTGCACTTA